TTTCAGACTCATATATATGGAAATCCCCACTGGAATGTCTAAAAGGTACCCCAAATTCAACTTACTTAAAGAAAAATCTATGGAGTCCTAGCTCAGAAATGGTCTTTCTTTGGTGGAAAAATCCATCTATATAAAAGGGTAACTTCATTTTTTTAAAGAATTTGTTTATTTGTGTGTGTGTGTGTGTGTGTGTGTGTGTGTGTGTTATGACTGTTTGTGAGTATGCAGGTATATCTCTTGCATGCCTAGTGCCCATGAAGGTCAGAATTGGGTTTTGGATCCCTTGGAACTAGAGTTCTATAGGTCATCATATGGGTTCTGGGTACCAAATACGGGTCCTCTGTAAGAGCAGAAAGTACTGCTAAGGCTTATCACCAACCCTTGAAGCTTCATTCTTAATACCGTCTCTCTAGCCTCCCCAGATTTAATTCAATTTGTACTATACAAGTGCTTCTCTTGTGTGCCCTATATTATCCAAATTTACCCTTCTCTTCTAAATTTAAGCTGTCATCAACTTCCCTTGTACTCTGGCATTGCCTGCTAACTGATTTGCATATTTCTACACTTGCTGACAAACTCTCACTGGACCATCCTCCAGAACACTTAAGAATCAGTAACCAGATCTAGAAAGTTGGTTCAGTGGTTAAGAGCACTTGCTGCTGTACCAGAGGAGCCAGGTCCAGATCCCAGCACCCTTATCAAGAAGCTCACAGAAGTCTCTAACTCTAGGTCCAAGGGATCTGATGTCTCCTTCTGGCCTCCAGGGGCACCTGCAAACACGTGTGCATACACAGACACACATAAATAAAATAAAATAAAATAAAATAAAATAAAATAAGAGGACTCCACCCTCACATCCTGAGCACCTCCCTCAGGTAGGACCCTTGACCTACAGTGACTCCACCCCCACCACCTGGGAACCTGAACCGATGCTGATCTTGAGCACTCTGCCAGGTACCAACAACTACAATCCCATCCCTGCTGCTTAAGGACCCTATGTCTTGCCCACCTTCCCAGGTGTAACAACTACATCATTGCTTCCTGAGAGTCAAAAGTCCAGGACAGCCTCTAAAACACTGTGAGCCTTCCACAGATTTTGAGGATCTGCAAGAATCTTCTAATGCTACAGGAAGCTTGCTTCTGAACTTACAAGCTTCACCCAGCCCCAGCTGAGCTGGGAGCACTTCTGATACCCCATTTGCACAGTAACACCGAGTGGCTCTAACACTAAAGCCCAAGCACCATTCATCTTGTCTATAACTGACAAATTAACAGCAAATGTAGATCCAGATGCCTACTCAACAAAGGTGGGATAGTGATGCCAAATAGAAATCAAAAATGTCTAAAGAACTCAAATATAAAGTGAATAAAGACTGGGGAAAAAACCAAGTAGAATGAAATAAAGACACAATTCAAGATCTAAAGGTAGAATTTAATAAAGAGATAGAACTTCTGAAGAAAACCTAAACTGAAATAAAACCTGAAAGGAAAATTTCAGGAAGTCATACAAAAAGCTTCATGAAAAACCTCATTAGCAGAATTGACCAAATGGGAGAGAAATTGAATCATTCAATCAAAGAAAAGGTTAAAATTAAAAACTCACAAGTGGAGGAAGCAGAAATTCTGGGAGACCATAAAAAGACAAACATATGAATCACTTATATAGAAGGAGAAGAAATTTGAATAAAGACACAGAAAATCATCGAAGAAAAAAATCCCTAAATCTAAGGAAAGAGATGCATATCAGGGTGCAAGAGTCACACAGAACACCAAATAGACAGGACCCGAGAAGAAACCCCTGGATCATATAATAGTAAAGACAGAAAATGAATATAGAACATATAGTGAAGGCTAAAAGGGAGAAAGACCAAGTCCCATATATATAGGCAGGCCCATCAGAAGAACATCTGGTTTATCAATGGAGACTATGAAAACCAGAAACGACTGGAACAATGTTCTACAACTTATGAAAGAAAACAGATGCCAGCCCAGGTTACTATAGTGAGCAGAGTTATCAGTTATGATTAAAGAGGAAAGAAAAACTTTCTATGATAAAAACAAAGTTATGAAATTTGTTATCACTAAGCCAGCTCTACAGAGGATACTGGAAGGAATACTTAGATCTGAAGAAAAGGTGGATGTGCTGGTTAGTTTTATGTCAACTTGACACAAGCTAGAGTCATCTGAAAGGAAATGAAAGTCAAATGAAAGTGCCTGTAGAGCAGTTTCTTAATTAGTGATTGATGGGCGGAAGTGACCATCCAGCCCTTTGTGGGTTGTGCCATCCCTGGGCAGGTGGTCTAGGGGTCTGTAAGAAAGCAAGCTGAGCAAGTCACGAAGAACAAGTCAGTAAGCAGCACTCATCCATGGTCTCTGCTTCAGTTACTGCCTCCTGTTCTATTCGAGTTCCTGCCTTGACTGCCTTAGATGATGAACTAGAATTTGGAAGTGTTAACAAAACAAAACCTTTTACCCCAAGTTGCTTTTAATTGTGAGCTTATCACAGCAACAGAAAACCTAAGAAAGTTAAGCACACCCTAAAGGGCACAAGGAACAAATAAACAATTCCTAATGCTGAATTAAAAAAAAAAAGGTCTATCAGAACACCACAAAAGCAACAAAATGTCAGGAATTAACATGCACCATTTAATAATAACTCTTAATACTAATGGTCTCGACTCCCCAGTAAAAATACACAGATTTTCAGGTTGGTAAATATAATAATGCACTTGAAGGCCATGGGAAATAAGAACCAATAACACCCCCAAACAGTACATAGTAAGAAATAGCCAATATCAGAGCTAAAAGTATTTAAATAGAAATAAAAAGCACAAATAATCAGTAAAGTGAAAAGTTGTTTCTTTGAAATACCAAGAAGATTGATAAACTTTCAGCCAAACTAACCAAAAAAAGAGGAGAGAGAAGACCCAAATTAGTGAAGTTAGAGACAGAAAGAGAAACATGACAAGACACACTGAGGAATTCAGAGAATCCTAAGGATGTATTCAAAACCTTTATTCTAGTAAACTTGAAAATCTAAAAGAAATGGATGAAACTTTAGATGTCTATGAACTAACAAAGTTAATCAATTAAATATTTTAAGTAGATCTATAACACCCCCCAAAATAGAAGTAGTAATTTAAAAATTTCCAACTCAATGAAAGGCCAGTGCCAGATGGTTATAGTGTAAAATTCTACCAGACCTTTAAAGAAGAGTTAACATTAGTACTCCTCAAATTATTCCATAAAATAAAATAAAGGAACACTTGCAAATTCATTTTGTGATGCCAGTATCCAGTGTTACCCTGATACCGGAAGCAAGCCTTGCTTGCTTTTGTTGCTGTAGATCTGCATGAGAGCAATCACTAATAACCATGTGACAGTCACTACCAGGTTGTCTTGAAATCTCCTCTACTAATGACATTAGCCCCACACTCTCCAATTTAGCCTCTGGCAGTTCTTTTTTTTTTTTTTTTGGACAAGGGCAGAAAGCAGCCACATTCTTTGCCAAAATATCACAACAATGATCTATAATATTATCCCCCGCTGAAACCTCTTGAGCTGGGGCCTCCATAGTTCACATTGCTTTCAACACTACTGTCTTCCAAGCCCATTAAACCCTGCTTACAATGTTCAACTGTTTTTTTTAGTCCAAAGTTGTAGAGTCTTCCATATCCCATATTCACAACAATATCCTGTCCATGGTACCAACTTCTTAGTCACTGTTACATTGCTGTGAAGATACACATGACCAAGGCAACTTATATAAGAAAAACATTTAATTCAGCCTGCTTATGGTTTCAGAGGGTTATCTTATGATTTTTGTTATCTCATGGTCTTGGCAGCAGGCAGGCAGACAGTCATGGCTTAGGAGCAGCAGCTAAGAACTTACATTTTATCCAAAAGATGGAGGCAGAGAGATAGCAACACTGTGCCTGGCATGGGCTTTTGAAACCTCAAAGTCCACCTCCAGGGACACACTTTCTTCAAAAGGCCACATCTCCTAACCCTTCCTAACAATCTACTGGGAACCAAATGTTCAAACATATGTGCCTATGGGGGGGCCATTTTCATGAAAGTCACCACGAGGCCAAAAGTATATACTGGAGAAAAGACTGTTATTGGTCTGGGGTCATTCAGATCCACCAGTCTGACCATGAATATATTTTAACAAAGAGGCTTTCATTTAGACACTGATGCCAGGTATTCATGGCATCAGAACTGCACCCAAGAGTGCTTTAAAGATGCAGTTCTGAATTACATTAGTCAGGGGTTTGTAAAGGCAAAATTCACAAGGTTATAGACTTGCCTTTGTGCAATCAGGCACACATCAAATCTACATGCAGTCAAGCATACATCCGACCTTTGTGCAGTCAGGGGCAAGCAAGCTTGTTTTACAGAAGGGAAAACACATGGTTTGTTGTCTTAAATGAACAAGATCAGGCAATTACAAGAATAGACCTAAGCATTTCTGTAAGTTATTTGTCCTTGGGTAAGTGGGGCTTACAGGTGAGAGGCATCTTTGTTTTATAGTTTTCTTAAGCACAGTAACTTTGAACTTTTTTTTTTTTTTTTTTTTTTTTTTTTTAAGTGCTAAATACTCTTTATTTGATATTATACATAGACCACAGTAAGTGCCTTTCAGTGGCAAAAGGCAGCATTGTTTGACTTAGGAGATTCTAACTAAAATGACATCATCAAGTCAAGAACAGTTACTTCCTGATGATTGCCTGTAACAGACCAGTGAGTATAAACTGAAACACAGGTGAGTCTTCTCATTTCTGAGACAGTGACAGGTTTTTTCCCCGGTGTTTAAACATACTCATTCGTCAAGTCATATAAATTTAAGTATAAAACCATCCAATAGGTTTGTGGTGACACCCCCATTTTTGTGGAAAGTACAACTTTAATAATTCAGTCCAATCCTATATTGAGAAAGGGAGAGCAGTGATAGTATTTATGCAACTGGAATTGTTATTTTAAAAAAAGATCATATCCACTTTACTACATGTCATTTTTACTTAAATCAGGACTGTCCAAGAAAAACATGATCTGAATTTTGGTGTATGAATTAAATTATGGTACACATTAAAAGTCATGAGACATTTGTTTTGTAATAAATAAGGCGCGGAATTACTCATTAGTAGCTTTTTTAAGGTAAGCTATTAGGTCCGCCCTCTCTCCCTTCTTCTTAATTCCAGCGAAGATCATTTTTGTTCCAGGGATGTACTTTTTGGGATTCTCCAAATACTCCATCAGGGTATCCTCTCCCCAGGTGATGCCTTTGTTCTTGTTGGCATCTGTGTAGGAGAATCCAGCAGCCTGGCCTGTCTTCCTCCCGAACAGACCGTGGAGATTTGGTCCAGTCTTGTGCTTGCCTCCCTTTTCCACGGTGTGGCACTGGGCACACTTCTGAACAAAAATCTTCTTGCCTTTCTCAACATCACCCATTTTTAATTCGCTCGCAGGGGATCAGCACCACAGCCGCTGCGACCCGAAGACGGACGTCCCGCTCTCTCAACTTTGAACTTTTAAACAACGTTGACCACCACAAGCCAGCATTGTCAATAAATCATGCGGGCCAAAGTGGACATCTATATGTAGAAGAATAAAACTAATTCCTTATCTCTGACTCCACACAAAAATCCAAATGGATCAGTCTGTTAGAGAAGAGTACACTTCAACTTCTAGGCACAGGAAAGGAGTTTGTTAACAGGACCTTGCTAGAGCAGGACTTTTAAGACCAACTATTGACAAGTGGGACTTTGTGAAACTAAAAAGCTTCTGTACTATACAGGACACTATCATTCCAGTGAAGAGGCAGCCTACAGGATTGGGAAATTTTTCTTTAATAGCTATATATTTGTTAAGGATTATTGCCTAGAATATACACAGAATTAAAAACAACAAATATCTGGAAGACAGGCAACCCAATTAAAAACCCAATCAGCCAGGGAACTAAACGAAGTTCTCAAAAGATTCAATGCAGATGATTGAGAAACATTTTAAAAGGTGTTCAAAATCCTTAGGTTTCAGGGAAGCGTAAATGAAAACTGCTTTTAAATTTCATCTTACCCCAGCCAGAATGCCTAATGTCAAACAAAAACAAGCAAGCAAGCTCAAACAAAAGAGTGATGACAAATGCTGGAGTGGAGGAGGGGAAAGGAGAACGTGGTTATTGGAGTGCAGACTGGTGTAGTTTCCTCAGAAAGCTATAAATAGATCTACCATATGACCCAGCTATACCACCATTAGACATATACCCAAAGGACTCTGTGTCCTGTTAGAGAGATACCTGTTTATCATGCTTATTGCTCCCCTATTCACAGTAGCCAGGAAATGGCCCAGATGTCCACCAATTGATGAATGGAAAATGAACGTGGTACACTTACACAATGGGATATTATTAGGCTTAGGAAAAGTGAAATTATGAAAATTTCAGGTAAATGGATGGATCTGGAAATCATCTTTCTGAGTGAGGTAACCCAGACCTAGAAAGACAAATATCATATGTTCTCTTTCATGTGCAGATGCTACCTCTGAATCGTCAGATATGTGTACTTAATTGGGAGTAACCGCAGAAGTGAGGAAACTAGCGAAAGGCCATGGAGGTGATTTCAAGGGAGGGGAGCTCAAAGGCTGGTAGGATGTGGAGGGGAAGGGAACTGATGGAGTGAGAGAGATTAAGCAGGGTGGAGGATGGGAAGTCAGGGTAGAGGAGGGAGTATGAACAGGGGCAACAGTAAAGACCTTTGAAGAGGTCTTACTTCTGTGGGAGAGTCCCGAAATAAGTGCACACACATATATTTAAAAATGCAGTGCCGGTGCACACGGCACTCTGTCCCTCACGTGTCATCCAACTCCATTCCCACAGGCAGTAGGCCACATGTTATTTTCCCCTTGCCCTGGGTTTTATTGAAAATAACAGAATTACTATTATCATTTATTTTTTAAAACCAAGCTTGCACCTGCCTTCCTGTTTTATGATGTATGTCCTAGATTTACTCAGGCATGGCATGGTGTGAGTCAATTATTATAGTTGTCAGACTGCAAAGCACAGATACTGCCCCTGGGAAAATGATGAAAAAAAAAAGAAAAGAAAAAAAGAAACTGGTAGAAAGGTGTAGCACTTGGGAAAACAGACCCTTCTTCTGGGCAGCACAGTAGAGCTGACCCTACAGACAAGGGCATGGGTGAGCCAGCCCTAAGTGCCTGATAGAGGCATGGTTGGTACCACCTCCCTAGGCCAAGGTGTGGTGGTGGGGATGAGGAAAAGTTGCCCTGTCCCTTTGCCCCTACTGCCTCCTTTTAGTGAGGGAGCTGACTCCTCTATCAGCTGAACTCTCGGAAAAATGGGCAGCACAACAGAGTTGACCCTGTTGATGACTTGCTCACCAGAGAGATGCAGCAGAGCTCACCCTGGTGGTGAGGACAAGGAAGAGCTGGCAGGCTGACCAACCCTGCAACCACCCAGCTCCAGAACCAGGGTTTATTCGTGTGTTGGCTTGTCCCAATATCCTCCCCATCTATGATCGGCTGGAGAACATGAAGGGACCGGTTCTGCAGACCCAAAGCAGCAGGATCTCCACGACACAGGGAAACAGCAGGATATCCAATAGGAGACCCAGTGAGGGTCCAGCATCGACAGTGTAGCTGAAACCAGAGGCCTCAAAGCAGACCAATGATTCTTTGCAATGAAGACTTGCGAGTAAAGACATGTGGATAAAAGGGTTTACTGGGTGATTCAGTGTGCATGGTGTCACACTACAGCTTCCATGACAAGACTGGTTTTTCCTTTTTTCTCTCTCAATTTTTTTTTTGGGGAGGTTGCAGGCAGAGAGTAAATACAAAGGGACGGGGAAATGAATGGGGTGGAGGTGCATGAGGTAAAAGACACAAAGAACAAATAAAAAGAAAGTTAAAATAAAAAGCAAGGTTGTTAGCTGGCTCACAGGATTACCAAGAGGCCTGAAGGACTGGGTGCAGAGAAAAGAAGGAACAAGGAAGAGGCAAGCCAGGGCCAGACTCTAGTAAGGTCATAGACATTTAGCCGTTGCGTGTGGAACTTCTCAACTTACCTGTGCCAGGAATAGGCATCAGACACTTCTGTTGGCAACACTGACCTCATTGCCCTCGGGGAGTGGATGCTTCGGGTTTTGCTGCTACCCTCGGAAAGAATTCCCCACTCCACCCTCCATCTCCTTTTTCTGTGTCACCAACTCCTCTTCATTTCAAAACCTGAACAGATGCAAGTGAATTCCCTAGCTGGGTCATAGAGCTGTGTCCTGGCTGCCGGAGGGGGGGGGAGGGAGGGGCTAAGAAAACAGTGTGTTGGGAAATGAGACAGGTTGTGACCCCCAGCTACATTCCTATAATGCAGAGTTTAGTTTCCTGGAGCAGGAATCAGAGCGCAATAAAGTCAGGACAACCAGTAAACATCACGTGTCCAGTATCAGGTCGTACCTAAGACCTCTCAGTGATGACCATGCATGTCTCTACCATCTCAATGAGAAAGGACACAGTGGTCCCTCCAACCTTCTTCCTCTTCATCTCTGCTGCCTATAAAAGCTACAGCACCATTGATTTGTCGTGGAAAAGTATGCTCTGCCCTCCAGGTTCTTATTTCTGGGTATTATAGAGATGGTTTGTGGAAGCCCTTGTATTCTATGTTTAATGAGCCACCAAAGCCAGCTTGTTTTCCTGGCTCCCCAGCCCTAAAAATAGGGCATTATTGAATAGCCCAAAAACCTGGGCAGGGTTTTCCCACTGCAGTAAGCCTGAATGTCAATTTGTATGTTTAATGGGCAGATGCTAAATCTACTGGAGTTTCTATTTTAAATTTGCTAAATGCCAATTCTCTCTCAAATGTCAATTCTTGTTCTCAAAGCATGTGGGTTTGTTTGTTTTCTTAGTAGAAATTACCATGCACTGTAAAAAGACACATTTATCATTAATAGTTTTTTTGACAGAAATAACTTTTAAAGAATTTTTACTCTTACCCTTTCTATTTAACAAAAAAGCTGGGAAAAATGGATGAAAGGGGGTTTCTTAAAAAAGAATACAGGATGCAGGATCTTCTAGTAATTTATGCACCTTCTTTACATGCGGTTTCCAGCATATCTGCTTTTTTTTTCTTCTTCTGGCATTTAAAATATTCAGGCTGCAGAAGCAAAGCAAGCTTTCTAAAATCATTCAGCGTGAAGAGCTGATTCCGGCTTAATTTGTTACTACTCCAAGGTAACACAGAGGTGTGAATAGAAAGTAATGTGACTGGCACTCTACCTCCCCCACCCCACAGCTGACATTTAAATTTGCTGCTGAACTCCAAGAGTCCCCTTTGAAAAGCATTTTAACTCCATCTGCTCCGAGCAGTTACGAACTGAGCTTCCCAGCTGTGGATCTTGAATGCCCGAAGTGACAGCAAGCCTCTGTGCTGTGGGATGCTGAGGAGTTAGATCTGGAGAAGGGACATGCTTTAGCTTCCCCCTTTGTGGCTATGACAAAGTCCTGACAAAGCAGCTCAAAGGACAGCAAGGGAGGGGAGGGGGTATGGCCTGTCAGGGCAGGGACACAGGGATAGCAGGAGCTAAAAGCAGCCGGCTACAGTGTGGCAACAGTCAAGAAGCCAAGAACATACTAGCTGTGGTGTCACACATATTTAGTCCCGGCATTCAGGAGGCAGAGGCAGGTGGATCTCTGTGAGTTCCAGGCCAGTCTAGCCTGTATAGTGAGGCCCAGGGCTGTGTAGGGAGACCATGTCTCAAAAACATAAAGGAAAAAAGAAGCAGAGAGCAATGAACAGATGATACTTCTCAGTAGCAGTTCTCCATTTAATACAGTCATAGATTCCAGCAGGGGAATGGTGACCCACAGTAAACAAAATCAAGATAATCTACCCCAGGCACTGCCAGAGTTCCTTCTCCCTAGCCAATCTAGATTCTGTAAACTTGACAATGAACATGAACAGTCACTTTATGGCTACTGTTTGGCTCTAGCTTCAGGGAAGGCATGCAGATGGTCCGGATGGAAAGAATGTGGGCTTCAGAGTCAGGTGAGTTAAGTGCCAATGTTCTCCACTTTCAAGCTCGGTCATGTTGCTCTAGGGCGCATAGCACCAGATTCCTCATGAGTGAAATGAAGGAGATTGCACTCTTGCTGTTGTGAACGTTACAGGAATTAATGTGCAGAGTCCCAACACCTCATAAAAATTCAGGAAATGCTAACACCCTTCTCTGTACCATCTCCACCCAGTGAAGCTGCTTTGCTCTTCTGCTTTCAATCCCTCCCAGTCTTTTTTGACTTATTTGTTTGAGACAGGGTCTTCCTAATGGCCTAGGCTGGCCTTGAACTCGCCATCCTTAGGCCCCAGCTTCTGGGATTACAGGCATCTGTTACCATGCCCAACTCCTCTGTGTACCTTTACTGATGCCCTTCCTACCTTATCCCTCATATTTATCATCACCCCTCCCCTTGGTATGCTTCAATCCAATTATCACATTATGGTTGGCCCCAA